CATAGTGTGAGGTAGCAGTTGAAGTTTGCTTTTTTTTCTATGCGAATATCTACTTGTTCCAGCAACATTTGTTGGAAGGACTAACTTTTCCCCAGTGGATTGTTGTAGCACCTTTGTTGAAAGTCAATTGACAGTACAAGTGTGGATTTACCTGTAAATTCTATTGAGTTCCATTGGTCTTTCCTTAGGCCATGACCAAGTAAATGTTGAACCGAAGTATTTGAGTCCTCCAATTTTGTTCTTTTTTCAGAAATGTTTTGGCTATTCTAGGTTCTTTGCATATCCCTGTAAATTTTAGAATCACATTCTCAATTACTATTAAAAAAATCTGCTAGGATTATCAACAGGGTTGAGGAAAATTGACATTACAACAGTATTGAGTCTTCTAACTCCTGAGCATAGTGTATCTTTTCATTTATTTAGATCTTCTTTACTTTTTCTCAGTAGTGTCTTCTACGTCTTTTGTTACATTTACTCCTAAGTATTTTATGGTTTTTGGTGCTATGATTAATAGATTTTTAAAAGTTTTATTTTCCCATTGTTTGCTGCTAATATATAGACATATATACCTTTGATCTTACTGCATTTCCCTATGAGCTTTTCTTTCTTTTATTTTTCTCTCTCTTCTTTCTTTCTTTCTTTTTTAGTAATTCCTTAGGATTTGCTATGTAAACAATTATGACATCTGCAAATAGGGACAGGCTTACTTTTTTACACTCTTTATGACTTTTATTTCTTTTCTTGCCTTATTGCAGTGGCCAAGACCTTTACTATGGTGTTGAATAGGAGTGATGAGAGTAGTAATTCTTGCCTTGTTCCTGATCTTAGGTAGAATGTTTTCACCATTGAGTATGAAGTTGGTTATAAGTTTTTATGTAGTGATCCTTAATCAGATTGAGAAAGTTCCTTTTTGTTCTCTCTTTGTTTTGCCAAGAATTTTAATCATGAAATGGGTATTGAATTTTATCTTTTCTGCAACTTTTGGTATGATTATAGAGGGGTCTTTAATCTGTTAAGGTAATGAATTTCATTAATTGATTTTTCAAATGTTAAACCAAAATAAAAGCATTATTGTTATATCTTTCTAATGAATTGACCTTTTATTATTATGAAATGTTTCTCTTTATATTTCATAATACTGCTTGACTTGAAGTCTGTTTTATCCAATATTACTGTAACTACTTCCACTTTGTTATGATTAGTGTTTTAATGTTTGTTTCTTTTAATTTGTAGGTTCCTCCCTCTTGTCTTTCCTTATAATTTTTTGTAAGCAACCCAGGCTGTTGGTCCTGTAGTTTCCCAGGGTCTGAATTTTGCTGATTATATCTTCAGGGTGGTATTTAACATGTTCCTCTGTTTTCTGTCAATTTATAGAGGCCATTTGTAATCTTGATCACTACATTTATTATTCTTTGTGTATAAAAGCTTCAGAGTTGTTTAAATAAACATGTAAAAAGTTAACCCGACCCCCAAAATGAAATTAATTTGGTTTTGGATAAAGAACTGATTTCATAATTAGCATGCCATGATTTGATTTTGTGTTCTTTTTATTTTTATTAAATATGTTCTCTATTTTTATAAATTTATATTTTCTTAAATACTGTACATTGTAGAGTCATTTTTTTCCCTGAATATTATGTCGTTGTCATAAATATTTTCAGTATTGGACCATTATTATATGAGGGGTCATTTGTTAACAAATAGTAGTTCAGCTGCCTGAAAGAGTCAGTCTGCTTGTGTTTTATTTACTGGCAAAATTAGGGCAATTGTACTAAAAAAATCTTTAATCTTAGTTCTCAGTGTTGTCTTGTTTCTTCCTCTTTTTTTTTCCTTTTTTATATATGAAAAGTAATTTCTTGCTCAGGGTTTTCAGCTTTTCGTTTTACTGTTTTGTTGATTCTTGACAAGTCAAGTGATTATTGAATTGACCATAGGATTTGGAATGAGCTTATTTAGTTAAATAGTGGAACACTTTTGACACCATCCCTCTTAATATGTCCAGGTCTGATGAATTAGAAATCTGTGTTATGTGGCAAGCTTGGTGCATGTTCTCATCAGATGTATCTTAATTATACTTTTTTCCCTCTCTTTCCTCTCATGCCATAATATCCTGGTTTGACAAAGCCCTTTGAAGTACCTTGCCTGTTGATAGGCAAATCCTAGATTTAATTTTTTGTGTGTGTGTGAGGAAGATCAGCCCTGAGCTAACATCCATGCTAATCCTCCTCTTTTCGCTGAGGAAGACCGGCTCTGAGCTAACATCTATTGCCAATCCTCCTCC